CTACGCTCTATGGTGGGGAGAAAGTGTTGTCTCGCACTTTATAAGACCAGAGGTCACATGAAGGGATCTCAGGGGTTGCTCTGTTATATCCACTTACATAAAGGGACACTGTTCAGAGAGATTCCCAGATGTATGTTTCGACTGATTACAGTAGATCGATAGCACAATTGGGTTAAAATTGGGGAAAATATCAACAATAGTCGCCAATCCATTTACAGTTAATCTCTCCTGTGTGTTTAATTTATTTTCGAATTGGTAGACATGGAACGCTAAATGATGGTGGGTCATCCTGGTTGGCAACTACCTCGGATAATTATGGAACAGCTTTCTGTATTGTTGTAAGTTGTGCAAACATGGTATGGTGTGACTATTTACCGAGTGACAGACATCCCTTAAGCTGGGTAAACAGTTGTGATCCCCCAGGTGCTGCATGCAGCACAGCTTTTCGATTCTTCTGTCCATATTTGTGCGGTTGATTCACAAATGCCTTTTACAGACACAACCTATTACCAGATTCCCATATCTTCCATTCATCTATTGTGTGTGGAACGTTGTGAGATACATAGTGATGATTGGCCTGGATTGTCGTGGGGAGAAAAGGATGTAATTTGAAAACCACATTTTAAACAGTAAAAGCTCCCTGCTTACTGGTTACGTATCTGTGTCTTTACGTAAACACATAAAATATGGATAACTAGTGTTGGGACGTACTGTTCTCCAAGACAATCTTGCTTTTCCTGGGTCTTTGCAGTGACCCTACCTCTGACACTTCAGTGCCTGAAACAACTGCAAACAGCAAACTTTCCATCTACACAAGTAGTTTTGACATATGTCAATCTCAAAGTGTTTATTCATTTAACCAATGATAACCTCTGATATTTACGAGTAAGCGAGAAGACAATACAGGAAAAACTGCATGATATTGTGCGATGTTTTTGAGTCATTTCACATGTCAATTTACTTTCCAAACAAGTAATAATGTTTGCACTTTAACTTAACATTTTCTATTCTAATACATTATGAAGCCTCCTTTTGGGTGACACATTGAGGCTGGGAAACTACAAGTTAAAGGTAATTCAATTATTTGCTCCAACAACAAGCCATGAATCTGTAGAATGAGACAATGCATGCATGAATAAATTAACCAACTGAGGACATAATACATTGATGACCGAGATGAGTAATTAATTGGTAAATATGGCATGAGAGTGAGGATTAAGAGAGGAGAATATAGTATTCAGCAATCCCTCACCAACCGGCGGGGGTTAGGTTCCTGGTAAATGCCACAGTAGGCAAATCCGCGGTTGGTAAAGTCTAGGCCCTATGGGAAATAGGGTGTTAGGGGAACTACAGCCATGGTCAGACTCGTCATAACTTAAATGAGTTGCCTGTTTATGAACTAAACACAGAATATAATACAGTACATTACACAATAACCAAAATAAAACAAATAAACATGACATTAACTTTAATATAAACGATGATGACGAGGACAATGAGATGATGGGAGAAGGAGTGCTTAGAAGGAGGGAGGGCTCAGTCCACCCTCTTCCTCCGGGCCACAGACGCAACACTCTACCTTCACTAGTCGCTGCATGTTTCGAGTCCATGATTAAGGGCAACATTTACCTGAATGTGGTTTCGATGCGACGCGGTGTATGCTTTACGGGAATTACGGCAAAGTATGTACAACAAAATAGACGGGCAGCTACGCGCGGAGGAGAACCACGGCTCCGCGAAATTTGTAACAATGATGTCACGCAACACAGTGATGTCATGCTGTAATGCAATAACGGAATACCTACATCATGTGGCTTCTTTAACACCGTGCTTACCTGCGGATACTCAGATTTCCAGCCCGTGGTTGGTAAATTGGTATACAAATAATAAACCGTGTATACGTGAAACCGCGGTTGGCAAATCCGAAGTTGGCGAGGAATTCTTGCATATGTAAGCAGAGGCAAGAAGATAACAAACACTCTTTTCTAAAATTAGTCCAGCAATTGGACGTGGAGGAGTTCAAATGAAGAAATCGGAAAATAAATAGACATGTGCACATTTTAAATGGTAAGAGATATCTATGTCCTCAACAAATTCACAGCGAGCCGATTATAAAAAATATATATAAGAAAAATATTCTTTATAAAACCAAATTATATTAATGTAATTGCTTTAAATAATGGCATTGTAATGTAAATTGCACTGGAAGTCAGAGAAAGTAAAGCTAAAGTAGAACAAACCTATATGAAAGCACAACAAATAATGTTGAAGAACATGAGTTGTATGAAACTTGTTGATAATGCCAAACGAAAGATATTATACACAGAACTGTCCAAATCCGTTCGGAAAACAATGCATATCTAAATCAGAGAACTACACAAGTGTGATTGAATATGTCATAACCATCAACAGTATCATGAAAGCAAAAAATAAGTTGATGGTTGGTGAATCATAAATAGTAGCTCGTAAAGAGCAAGATTTAACCATAATGCATGAGACAATCAAAAAATAGAGAAATTGTATACAGATCTGTACAGCGAACAAATCATAGCCCAGAACACAAATCATTGTTCCAGGGAAGGAAGGGGTTCCAGATGTCATACTTGAAGAAGTAACTACCACCCGTTGATGTATGAAAATATTTGAAACTCTTGGACCAGAAGGAATGATAATGTAGTGAAGCTAGCTAAGTCCCCACCTCCGCTTATCACGGTTGGCTATATACGGTGCGAAAGACGTTTAACATACATACATACATGTAAGAAACCACAGGTAACATGTAAAGTATGTATGTATGTTGAACTTATTTTGCATCGTATGTAGCCAACCATCCTAATCGGAGGTGCCAATACAAATTTTTTGCACGTGGAATTGATTAACTTTATAGGTATGTCTTTTTTATATAAAGTTCAGTACTTAGTTACTTGCAAAACGTTATAAACCCAAATCCATTACACCTAAGCTAGAATTGGAGTGTGTGTGTGTTCTCAAAGATATATTCATGTGTCCAGTAATTTATTTTGATTATGTACTGTCTAGGCATGTATGGTAAATTGTATATGTATTATTCTGCCAGTTATTTGTGTATGTTTGGTCATTGCAATGTACATGATTCAATGAAAATTATTCAGTAATTTAAGTAAATAGGCATTTTGTGGTAAATAACTTAACATAAGAATAAGACGGTTGCCATAGTCTCTGGATCCAGGTCACTCCATACAGTGAGGGAAAAAAGTATTTGATTCCCTGCTGATTTTGTACGTTTGCCCACTAACAAATAAATGATCAGTCTATAATTTTAATGGTAGGCTTATTTGAACAGTGAGAGACAGAATAACAACAAAAACATCCAGAAAAACGCATGTCAAAAATGTTATAAATTGATTTGCATTTTAATGAGGGAAATAAGTATTTAACCCCCTTTCAATCAGAAAGATTTCTCGCTCCTAGGTGTCTTTTATACAGGTAACACGTTGCGATTAGGAGCACACTCTTAAAGGGAGTGCTCCTAATCTCAGCTTGTTACCAGTATAAAAGACACCTGTCCACAGAAGCAATCAATAAATCAGATTCCAAACTCTCCACCATGGCCAAGACCAAAGAGCTCTGCAAGGATGCCAGGGACAAGATTGTAGACCTACACAAGGCTGGAATGGGCTACAAGACCATTGCCAAGCAGCTTGGTGAGAAGGTGACAACAGTTGGTGCGATTATTCGCAAATGGAAGAAACACAAAAGAACTGTCAATCTCCCTCGGCCTTGGGCTCCATGCAAGATCTCACCTCGTGGAGTTGCAATGATCATGAGAACGGTGAGGAATCAGCCCAGAACTACACAGGAAGATCTTGTCAATGATCTCAACGCAGCTGGGACCATAGTCACCAAGAAAACAATTGAAGGACTGAAATCCTGCAGCGCCTGCAAGGTCCCCCTGCTCAAGAAAGCACATACATGCCCGCCTGAAGTTTGTCAATGAACATCTGAATGATTCGGAGGACAACTGGGTGAAAGTGTTGTGGTCAGATGAGACAAAAATGGAGCTCTTTGGCATCAACTCGCTGTGTTTGGAGGAGGAGGAATGCTGCCTATGACCCCAAGAACACCATCCCCACCGTCAAACATGGAGGTGGAAACATTATGCTTTGGGGGTGTTTTTCTGCTAAGGGGACAGGACAACTTCACCGCATCAAATGGACGATGGACGGGGCCATGTACCGTCAAATCTTGGGTGAGAACCTCCTTCCCTCAGCCAGGACATTGAAAATGGGTCGTGGATGGGTATTTCAGCATGACAATGACCCAAAACACACGGCCAAGGCAACAAAGGAGTGGCTCAAGAAGAAGCACATTAAGGTCCTGGAGTGGCCTAGCCAGTCTCCAGACCTTAATCCCATAGAAAATCTGTGGAGGGAGCTGAAGGTTCGAGTTGCCAAACGTCAGCCTCGAAACCTTAATGACTTGGAGAAGATCTGCAAAGAGGAGTGGGACAAAATCCCTCCTGAGATGTGTGCAAACCTGGTGACCAACTACAAGAAACGTCTGACCTCTGTGATTGCCAACAAGGGTTTTGCCACCAAGTACTTAGTCATGTTTTTCAGAGGGGTCAAGTACTTATTTCCCTCATTAAAATGCAAATCAATTTAACATTTTTGACATGTGTTTTTCTGGATTTTTTGGTGTTATTCTGTCTCTCACTGTTCAAATAAACCTACCATTAAAATTATAGACTGATCATTTATTTGTCAGTGGGCAAACGTACAAAATCATCAGGGGATCAGATACTTTTTTCCCTCACTGTATCTCATAATTACACAAGACCCATAGTCAATAACATGCAATGCCATATGCTGTATTTTTAATTGTATAGAGTGGTTGCACATATTTAAATGTTGTAGATGTAGAAACATAGAAATGTAGAATTTCAATAATACTGTGCAAAGTAATTAAAAAAAAAACAATTAAATAGAGTGTTCTTAATCATAATTTTCGTGTTTTTTTAGGTTCTTGGCTGATCCACGGATGATGTAGAGGGATAAGGCGCTTATGACGACAGTGGGATTGCGTTTGCTGAAATGGAAGCGGATCTGCTTGGCATAGATCGTTTTATTCTCACAAATAGAAGACTTAAAGGTTGTACTTCACCTTCAGCAGTTGGTGTTTAGTTATATTTTACCCTTGCACGGAGGAGAAGAAAAACTTCAGTTGAATAAATATTGCCATATTGGATTGCGTTCAAAAGCGCTGCAATGAATCGGTACACGACAATAAAGCAGCTCGGAGATGGAACTTACGGCTCTGTCCTCATGGGAAGAAGCAATGAGACTGGGGAGTTGGTCGCCATCAAAAAGTGAGTGTGTTGTTGGAAATCGTAATGCTTATGAATACATCTTGCACGTTTGTACATTAAAACTTAATGGAATTGCAATAAAAAACTGAAAACAAACGATTGTTGGTTTAAAATATATATTTTTTTATTTATCTTTCAAAGCAGCTGTTCAAGCTTCGTGTGAAAAATGACATTCGGATAAAGCGTCAGCTTGAATTTCAAAAAGGCAGTTGCCACAGGCAGTTTAGCACTGTACATGCGACTCTTTTGTTATTTTTATTTTTGTGTTCACCACACTGCTTTTGATGTTTGTTAATGTGGTTTAAAAATAAAAATACAATACAAGTGTTTGTTACACCTTTTCATTGTTCATTTACATTTCCATTGAATTTAGATTTTGACAGTTTTGATACACTGTGGAGACTTACAACATAATACATATTTGGTTGACAATTTTCTATTTTAAACGAGGAACAGATGCTAAGAAGAATGTAGCTAATAGGATATTTTGAGTAATGGTAAAATATCACATTTGACATTATAACATCGGATGTAACGTATGTCCATATACTCACGACATTGTGAATAAAACACGGTTTGAGGCTGGATGTATTGAGCGTTGGAAAATATAAGGGGAAAATGGCCATGTTGACTTTGGCTGTGACATTGGCAGTAGTGCTGAAGGGTGCGCCCATTATTGCATTAATCCCAGTTCACAGTATGCAGCCTGTAAGGCACGTGTCTAAAGCACACCGTTCGTTTTGACTGCTAAGTTGGAGTCTTGGAGATCGAGCATTATGCATGGAATTTTAAGTGTTCCCTCAATACCTTTAATTCTTCGAGTAAAGAAAATACGAGGCATTTGTTTTGAAACCATAATAATAGCAATCAATGACGGCCCTTTGTAAATCGGCTGCTGAATGAAGGCCTCCCCCACACCCGATTGGTAATGGGGGTTGACTTCATCACACTGTCGGTTGGCCAAGGTGTGCGATAGAAAAAGGCCAATTCAGATTTCATTGTTTTATTTAACTATGGCTGGGAATCAAATTCAAGTCGCTTGCTCATATAGCAGTGAACTAACCACTGCGCTACAGCTCCGCCCCCACCACCCTCAAAGTAAATAGTGTGTTACTCATTTAAATGAGTGTCACTGGATCTCGGAACTCCCTAATGTTTATCTTACATGTAATTTTAATTTAATTAATATATATGTTTAATACATTATTTCTCTTTACATTATTCCATTAAACATCTTTACAAATTGCAATCCCTGTTTTGTTTCAGGTAATGTTATATTAATGTAATGCTCATTGCAATAATTTTATATCGTCAAGAATGTATTGTTGCAAAGGAACAGCGTTTAAATAACTACTCGATGTTTTTTACTATTCATCTTCATATTAGGGTGGTTGAGATGGGGAGGAAATGCAATATCCCTTTGGCATATTAATGTTTCACATAATAAGGTAATTGTTGTGTCTGCACTGGGCATATTTACCTTCCAGAATGAAGAGGAAGTTTTATTCCTGGGATGAGTGCATGAATCTGCGGGAAGTCAAGGTATGATGGCATTTTTATGAAACCTTTGAATGTTGTACTAATTTGTATCAATTTAAATGACATTACCGTATGTTACCTTTGTTTTGTGTATTCAACTGTGCACTCTTTGCCAGATGACCTTAATCGTCATTAACTTTCCCATGCCCTTGGATTATATAGGGCTGTACTTATCTTTTATACTCAATCAGATTACTGATTATGTAGCATTTCGCGCAGCCTACTGAACAAATGTCAACCAAATGGTATAGTTTGCAATTGATTATGGCTTATCTGTGGAGCTGTGCCGTCCAACAAAGATACACAATTATGCATTCCTCTTGACGTTTTAAAAGTGAGCTCTGGTGCATTGTTGAAACTAAGTCTTTTGAGGTGATTGTTACTCAAAACATCCTTTTGAAGCAAAGTCATGTGAGCACCAATTAATCCGCTCTGAAAGCTAATAAGTCAAGCAAGGCATTGTAAGCCTTCTGTGGATCAGGGTGTTTGAGTTGCTGCAATATCATGAACTAAATTACTTGAATTCTTGATACAATATTTGCATAGTATTTTGTATTGTTCACAAATGTACAAAACAACAATCATTCTGCCTTATGACTTCTTGTAACTGGCATAGATAACCATTCTACTGTGATTATGGTAAAATTTATTTTGAGCAGTTGCACTTTTAAAGCAATTTACCACTGATTTTAAACAATAATGTTATAACAACGTTAAAACCGTACGTTACACGATATGTCATATGCATACATATCTTGATTTAAAGCTTTCGTGACTGCAGGAATTCATACTCTTTGGGTATGCTGTGTTATGATCGAAACGTCGTGATCTATTATTTTTCTATCTGTGTGACTTTACCAAAAGACTCCAAAAGTATGTATACATATTTTAATTAATATATTTAAAGAAGACAGACATTTATAAACTAATTAAAGTGTATCTTTTACAGCAAACCTTTCTACAGCATGCATAAGCTGAACATTCGCAATATTGCATTGTTAAACAGTTCATTAGTGCAATTAATTAAGTGGAACTTTTAATATTTGGCTGCAATAGGTAGTGAAGGTAACGTTATTATAAATTAATGTGATTTGTTCCAAATAACTTATGTCAGCCATGTGAATGTTTCTAAAGTTTTGTAACAATGTCTAAAAGGTGGCCATTTTGTTTTCCAAGCAAGCCCTTCTGCATTCGGCAAATCGAGGAAGTGAAGCTTGCAATATTTCTTTTCCAGCCATGCAAGCCCAGGCTTGTAAATGTCTGATATAGCTGCTGGCGATATATGTTTTATTGCAGCCAGGGGGGGTAGTGCATTCCTCCCCAATTTCACTGGTGCAGCCTGTCTCTACTGTACTGCGTAAAAGGCCATTTTACGTGTTGTAGTCAATACCAGTGTGGGTCACAGTAGCTCAGGGAAGCCTTCATTCAAATAGACCATAAAACATTGTAGGGTTTGTTTTTAAACCCCGGTATACACGTATTGTATCAAGAAGAGTCACTGGGAGGAATAGTACACATTTTGAAACCCATAGACATCTTAGGCGATTTGTTGTTTGACAAGGCGATTTGTTGTTTGAATGTATTTACCCGTTTGTGCTATATGAGAACCTATATGGGTAGTCCTCGACTTACAAACGGGTTCCGTTCCCGAGACCCGTTCGTAAGTCGAACGGTTTGTAAGTCGGAACAATAATATACCGTATATAAATGCACATGATCAGTGTTAAAAAAAAAGTGTTACGGTTCAACAAAAAAGAGAAGCATTGTTAAACTCATAAATAAATATAGTACATTTGCATGTAATACTGTAATACATACCGTATCATAAATAAAACAAATAAAGTAAGCATAAATAGAAAAAAATCATGTTTTATTTTCACTTACCTTGAGCCCTGATGCCAGCTTGCTTGTTGGAAGGGATGCCATGAGTCCCCACAATTTCAAACACACATGTGTGCACGTGCACACACGCACACAACGCCAATGACCCGCCCCGATAGCCTCAACAGACTGTTGGGGCAAGTGCTGTTAGCGAGCAGCACCTATGAAGGGGGTGAGTGGCCAGTACCACGACCTTTGACTCCCTAGTGGCGATGTTTACACACTGCACCAGGTATTCATTTGAGGCTGAGTCAACCAAGGGGAGGCCCAGGACCCATTCAGATAATCATCACTGGTGTTGATCATGAGTGGGAATCGAACTTGGGTCGCCGGGTTGGTAGCGCAGCATGCTATAACCACACACGGGGGCACACACTCACATGCACACTCACTTCCACACACATACATGTGCGTGCGGGCACACACAAACACTCATTACATCTTGGGAAGGATTTCTCCGCTGAACAAAATAGTTGCGCGGTTTAGTTCGCAAGTGCGAGTTTGTAAGTTGATCTTAAAAAAATATATATATCCTGGAAGCTGGTTCGTAAGTATGGGTGTTCATAAGTCGGTTCTTCGTTTAGTGAAAGACTGCCTGTATAGTATATGTAATTACTCATTTGGAATATACATAGCAGTTATCGCCCCCGACTGCGAAAACTTGGCAGGACCCTCCTGAATAAGAGCCATAAGTCTCAGTGAGGCTTTTTTGAGTAAACAAGCACACTAATACAGTTTCATATAATGTTCAAAACGTTGCACATGTAAGGAAGACGTTATTAATTAAATTATTGATAAATGTGTGCCTTAAAATATCTTGATTTTTTTTGGTTTTGTGGAATAAAGTGATGAGAATACAGGTATTCAATTCCAGAGATTACAAGGAAGCCCTTTGTGCCACCCTTAAAATAGCAGTTTTAATTCTTCCCTGCAGTTTCTAATTTTCCATTCACTACTTTGTTTCTACGATCGTTGGATTTCCCTATTCTGGAATGGGTTTCTGGCTGGTTTGCGAATAAAACTATCGTAGTGCAATGGAGGGAATCATTTGTGCATCCAACGCAGCTAAAACTGGGGGAATGATAAGTGGCATGGCTGACCTACAGTTAATGACGTACGAACTAGCCAAGCTGTGTTTGAACATTTCACATTTATCTTGTTTTTGCTGTAGATATTTGTTTAGTACCTAAAAGCAAATGGCAGCAGTGCTCGCTTCATTCATTTTCAAGGGTACTAGCAAAGAGCAGATGGTTCAAGCAACGCTTACTCTGTTGGCTTTAATCCAGTCGCTCCTTACTACATGGAGTGGAACATCAATTGGTCATGCCTTCTACTTTCCATCAACTGAATTTACAGAGCTTTCATTATGAGGACAGTGTCAGGCCACCTACAACATACATGGAAAGTAGAGGCTTATATAATTTATGCAAATTTTTGCATGTATAAAGTACTCAAAGGCATATAATATAGTGACTTTGAAGCTATGCTCCAATTCCATTGTTCCATTATGAAGCCAGCATTATCATCCTTTGAATTGAGAGTTTATCCTAAAGTTGATGGATGTGGAATAAAGCTGTCTGGGCATGATAACAGAATGTCTCCTTTCTGAGCCAAGACACCAAGTGCATCCAGACTATATAATTGGGTAAAGCTTTAGATAGAGGGCCCAGAGCAAATGTCAAAATAACCTGCAAATACATTTGTGGTTATGGGTTTTTTTGTTTGTTGAATTTAAGAAGCTGGCAGATACAATTTTAGGAATACTTGTACAGTCAATATTAACATGTCTGCTGAAAGGATACTAACTTGGATATATAGGTTTTTGTACCTGTTGTTTATAACCAGGAGAAGCAATGTTTGTTTTTACAAACGAAAAATATTTATAAATGTTTTTGTGTCATTTTTTTCAAGTAAAATCTTTACTTAAAGCTTTCGTGACTGCAGGAATTTATATTCTTTGGGTCTTTCGTCCTGATGACGATCACTTGTGTTGTGATTGAAACGTAGTTTTTTGTAATTTTATTTGAACCATCTACGTGACTTTACCAAAATACCCAAAGAATATTTTTTTAAGTCATTTGATTATGAATAGGATTTTCTGAAATTTTTAAATTATGGTTATCAGTATGTGACATACAATATATGTGCTCTGTTAAGTATATGTTTTTTTTAATTATGTGATAATGTATGTTCTGTTGTTATGCAATGCATGTGTTCGACTCCGAGATAATTATACAGAATTAATGAGCCGCCACCAATCCCTTGGGGCTAAAACCAGTGTGATGTGCTACAACACATACTAAGGATGACAATGATTTATTTGAAAAGCAGAGAATGGTACGCACACATTTGTTTTTGCATTTTTTTTTTTCACTGATGCGTGTGACACATTCTTTGAGGCCAATTTTTTGTAGCATTCCCTATAAGCTTGGGGCCTTCGAGAATGCCTGGAGTGAATTCTTGTTGGAAAATTAAAAAAAATATATATTGTTATGCATGTCTAATAGTAACCATCAATCAAATGTTTAAACTGTAAACCAATGCACACGTCGTTGGGTTCTGTGCACAGTAATCGCTGTGGTTGCCTCCTTACGTAAGCTTCAAAATATAATCCACGTTTTGCTGGACACAAAAGTGTGTCCATCTGTGCCCTTGGCGGACAGCCAGTGGGATTGAATAGCAGCAGTTGGGCGGTGAATGAGCGACCGAATCTCTACTTTAATTAGCACGTTAAGCGTATAGTGTTTAATGTCTAATGGCTCATGTTGCTCTTTCACAATGGGCAGTCACTAAAGAAGCTCAATCATGCCAACGTCATCAAGCTCAAGGAAGTGATTCGTGAAAACGACTGCCTCTACTTTGTGTTTGAATACATGAAGGAAAACCTCTACCAGCTGATGAAAGACAGGTTTGTGATTAAACACTCTCACCTGACCACTGACCACTGCAATGCCACAAGGCGGAGCAGCGATGCATATTTTCATGTAATTTTTAAAGTTGATAATATGGGGGTTGCCTACATTTTGTGTTCCAAAATAGTTAAACAATATTATTTTAGTTTGACCTTTATATGTATCACAGGTATTTATGTCAAAATTATTAGAATCAGCATCAAATGTTATTTTTTTATTTATTTAAAGCTTTTGTGACTGCAAGGATTCATCTTCTTGGTTCTTTCGGTAAAGTCACGTAGAATGAGAATAAAACAATAAAACAAAATAAGACAATACAATTCTCACGACGTTTCGGCCACAACACAAGAAGGCTACAACACAAGAAGGCTACTTGTGTTGTGGCCGAAACGTCGTGAGAATTTTATTGTCTTATTTTGTTTTATTGTTTTATTCTCATTCTATGTGACTTTACCAAAAGAACCAAGAAGATCAAATATCAGGGCCCATTTTTCTTGTTTAAACTGTTATCAAGATAATTGTAAAAAAAAGTTACACCGTATCTTGGTACATTAGCTTTTTGAATACCCTTTACATGCATCAAATTTTGTGTTTAATAATTCGTTATTTTTATTTGTGTGGTGTATTTCGTGGGTTCTTGCAAACCCCTGTAGCCACTCGAACTATCTATATTCACCACCATGTTAATGACAATTATTGAATAGTGACCTTGAATCTGAACAGTTTAACCATAAGGGGGTCAATGGATAAACCTCTTGAACAGTGTGTGTGGACCAATCAAATTCAAGGACAGTGCATATTATTATCAGAGTTATCTTTTTTGTTTGCATTTTGACTGCTTGTGTTGTGGTTATTGCAAACATGATGCCTTGAATAAAGGTGTCAGTTTTTGTGCCAGTTAAAAGGGTAAAACCTATTCCTATACAGTGTGTGGCTTTATATGCAATAGTATTATTGTTGGAGTTTGCAATTATAATAATACTGCATACATATACATTGTTCCTATATATAACAGTTGTGCAGGGAAACACTGGTGTATGATTAAAGAGCTGTATTTTGACGACAGTGGGATAGGAGTAATTGCAACAGCTAATTGCACAATCACACAATTTAGGCAGATGACCAGAGTGGAATGAGTCAAGAAGTCTCCAGGCAGTGGTGGCAGTTGCATGCAGAGGAGGGGGGTGGGAAGTCCAAAGAGGTGTGATAAATAGGGAGAGGTGGAGAGTGAGGGAGAGCAAATTTTTTTTATTTAAAAACATAATGAGCACACTCATTACAATTATACTTTAAACACGGTACAAATGTATGTTCTGTAGTGAGGTAGTTCTACATTTCAGATATAGAGACATTGAAGATGATGGGTCATTTGTAACATTTTCATGTGACTTTTTTCTTGAGCACAGTGTGATCTAATTAGTACTGTACTATAGATAGTAATAAGTTGCCCAACTTTATTGAATAGGTAAAAAAGGCTCATTATATACCGTGGTGTCAAACATGCTCTGGTAACTTTTACACTGCCCATTTTGGTTTACATTCTATTGTGTACACAGTGAAATTTGTGCTGTAAATTTTTTTTGTCTCGGCACACACTCACCTTGTTTGAAATCAATATAATTATCAATTTTGCTTGATGAAGCTTGTGTGTACATTAATAAAATATGCACACAGCTTCTTGCTATTTTTCAAGTCTAAACTTACTTTAACGCTCATTCCGTCGTAAAAAAAGACATCGCTGTTGTCTGAATTTCATGTTTTATTTAGCTGTCCTTTTAGTGAAACCGCATCATCATATTTAGAGGGGAGCTGTCAAAACGGTGCCCGTTGTGGCTTGTGTTTGGCGACTGAGGCTGTTGCCTGTGGCGTTCCGAACATGAGTGGCGTGCAACATTCCTGGGAGTGAATGACTCTTCAGTGTGAATGTGCAGTACGTAACTTTGTGGGACTTGGAGTAGGGGAGGGATGTGACAACCCTGACCCAAGGGTGGGGCAGCGGCACAAGCCATGCCAATGAAACAAAAATTAAGAGTTTACCCAATAGGTTTAACTTTATTATACACTGTATTCGCAGAGCAAAAGGATGTTTAAAAAACAAATATTGTGACGATTAATGTTGAACACAACCATTGTGTAGAGTTTGTGCCATTTTGTATTAGATTGCAAGTTTGAATTTGAAACATTCATCGATATTGTATAATATATATGTTAACATCACTCCATGCAGGCTTTTGGAGTGGTGCATAGACCTACTTATTGGGTTATTGAGATCATTGCAGGCTGGCTGATGTTGGCTGATGCGGTGTTTTTTATGTATGTTTTGCAGAAACAAGTTGTTTCCCGAGTCCATGATCAGAAATATCATGTACCAGATTTTACAAGGACTGGCTTTCATCCACAAGCATGGTATGCAATTACCAATACAATATAGTAAAGTGTGTAGTTGCACAATAAAAACAAGTATAAACTCGTACATTAGTAAAACCTGAACAGACAGGTGCCTGATGTATTTTTACAGCCTCGATGATTCCTATGCCCCTGTATTAATGTTCTGTCAACATTTCCACTGCTCCACCACCAATAATCACTGGGGATGTGTGCATTGGAGGCGATGTGCGCAAATAGCATCCTTTGACAAGGATGGTGAATCATAAAATGTCGACTGTAATGTGTTTTATGCTTGTGCTGTCACAGCTACATAACACGGTGATTCACATAAACTGCCCATCTTGCGCAACCACATTAACATCGAAAACGAAAGCCACGCATTGGGTGGAGTGCAGCAGAAATGTCAATGGAAGAAGAAGTTGTGTTTTAGTGAGCTTCAATTGACTCGATTTATAGCTTTAGACATCAGTGGCAATTAATACCTTGCCTTGGTGTGGCCCCCACTCAATTAACTATGCTTACACAAAAAAAAAAGAAATGTTGGTCAATTTGTTGTCAACAAAAGTAACCAGGAGGCAACGGTGTCATGATGAATCTCCAGCTTCTCTTTTAGGAATAAAGCCAATAATAGACCCTCCACAACAACAATTAGCAAAAGGTCCCCAGAGCTTTAAAGGGGATGGATTGTTTTAAAATCCACATTTAATTTGCACCTGCACTTGCACGTATTGCATTATATCACCAAGTACCAATTGTAATCGGCCAAGAGTTGAAAAGGGGGATTTTTGTTTCGTGTTTTTTTGTGTGAAGACTTGGAATTTATAACAAACAAAAAAGAATGTTATAACTTATAGAGTAGACATAACATTTTATCCAATCCATCAGGATCGTATTGCTACAAATGATGAAAGCTTGCTCATATATGGCCTGACCGTTTAAGAGTAATGCTTTAAATTAACAGACAAAACTGGAGATGTCAAAACATCCTCGGGAGACCTGCATGACGAAAGTAATGACCTAAACGTTAGTATTTTTACATTCGAGCCAATGCAAAGTGATGTATTCACCTCTATGCTCATCTCCTGTTTACAGCCCTGAGCCAATGGTGAAAATTCCACGTTCCTAATCCATAGATAAACTGATTATTTGATTGGCATGTGCAAATGGATTTCAGCTGCACATGACCAGGAACAGCAATGCAGATTATGAAATACTGTATGTAGAATAAATGTACAGGTGTGCGTAAGTGCACAGATAGAGCTTAAACACTGCATTATGTATACAACAATCCCTTGCCAACTGCGCGGGTTATGTTCCTGAAAACCGCCGCAGTTGGCAAAACCGTGGTTGGCAATACTAAGGCCTTATGGGAAAATTTGAGGTTATGGCAACCGTGTCTGCAGTCACACGCGTCAAAGCCGCCTAAGTTGCCTGTTCCTTCACTAAACACAAAATAGACGATGACATAAAAAAACAATAAATGTTAAATTAACAGAATTGTAAACAATACAATAATGTAATTTTCCTTTAATACTGAGGGTTGAAGTCCATGGTGATGACGATTACATTGGTGATGAGGTAATGTAAGAAGGAAGAGGGGCTTTACCCACCCTCTACCTCCACCTGGTGGTGGGAAGAGAGCAGTGGTGGAAGCTGGGAGGAGGGATGATGCACGGAGGGAACACAGATGCGGGTGATGTGAAATTACAAGTGCTGGTAGCCGTGCTAAACTGCAGATACACAAAACTCCATACCGCGGTGTGGAAATTGTAATGCCAAAGGAAAACCGTGGATACATACCGTGGATGCGAAAAACTAATCTCGTGAAGGATTTATGTACATTATCAATAATGTAATTATTTTTTTAAGGCTTCTTTCACCGTGACATGAAACCTGAGAATCTGTTGTGCATGGGGCCGGAGCTTGTGAAGATTGCTGATTTTGGACTGGCAAGAGAAATACGTTCCCGACCTCCCTACACGGACTACGTCTCCACTAGATGGTGAGCTCTAACCATTTCCATGCTAAGTGAGCCCGCTGTGCCAAGCCTGAATACTAATTGTTTGCTTTTTGGTACTCTTAAAGGTTGTTGTAGTGCACGTAGTGTGTTTAATTTTGGCATTTTTTTATGTAAGAAAAAAATTGTCCAATAATTACATCCAGGAAAGCATTGTCATTGTTTAATTGTTAATTGTTTTTAAAAAAATATACCTTTACATTTTTTCTTGTCATATGATACTGGGTAACTTTGTAAAGACGACGTCATAAACTCAAGACGTCATTCTTCATGGGTTTTCATTTTGCTGTTTCTGTTTCTTTTACATTATGTTAAATATCATTCCACTGCTGGATAAAGGCCTCCTTAAGCTGTCACCATCTATCCTGGTTCTGCGATGTAACAATCCACCTAATACTTCTGCAGGAGCTGATGTCATTGCTGCTCAATCTCTGTGGTGGCCATTCTCTCGCGGGCGCCTTTTCTCTCTTGGCTGCCACTTGTTATTATGGTCTGCTTGCTATATCATGACTTTTGGCAATGCGTCCTGCCCCTCCCGATCCCATTTTTCCTGATAGTCTTGCTGCCTTAAAGTATACATTTTCCCTTGACAGATGGTTTATTTTTGGTTCAACTGTAGCCAATTATTCCTCTGTGTAATCAGAGTGTAAGGCTTACTAAGTGTGTAATGTACCGTCTATTGGATCTTGGATACATAGTATAAAAATTCATTAAGTTAATGCAGTGTGAAATGCGTGCCCGATCGTGGGAACGATTGGGAGGGTACAAAGTGTCCAACGTTAAGAATAAATTACGAAATGTCATAGCAGCCTTGAAATCTGGCACTTTTTTCCCATTTGTGTTGCTTTAATTACGTATTAATTTGTGAAGGCCCACATTAACTTCATGATATTGTAATAATAACATACATTAGCTACATACACTCAATATTATTTTATAAAAAAAAAATATTTTTAGCCAATTCCTGTTGAATATGATGTAAGCAGGAGGAAATCGAGTACATTGAATGAAAAAACATGAATATGAAACACTCATAAATCCATACAAGTCGGTCAGCATCTCACTTGATGCACTGTTTCTATTGACCACTTCATAGACTTGCAATTAAAATGTGTAATTCACCAAAATCACATACAAAGTGCTACATTACGCCCATGCATCACCACTCGGAGCATAAAGGTGAATGAGAATTTTTAAGTCCTCCCCCACATGTATTCAATATAATTCAAGACCTTATTTTCTCTGAGATGCACATTATATGTGCAGGTCACAGCACATAGTCATGTGTTTAAAAATTCCTTGTGCCTGTGATACATTTCATACATTGCAATACTAAAATACAGCTACGATTATACAGCATCTACATGCAACCGCATTTTCAATTTTTTTTACGGAAATATTTGGTGTATTTATTTTCTATTGAGAGAAAGTGATAGGCAGGGGAAATAATAGTTCCTGACTTTGGGGAAGAATAAGATAATTACGGTAGTGACCTGTTAAAGTCTTGGCCTTCTGGAGCAGAGTAATGCGTGGAAGGGAGAAGAGTGAGATAGAAAGGGAGAGGTAGGAAAGTGTGCGGAGGATAATAGTGAAATCTGAGGGGAGACAAAGGAGAGAGCATGGGTAGAAGTCGTAAGATGAGAGGGGAGAGGTAGGAGAGTGTGTGGAGGAGTGCGAGTGAAATTATAAGGGAGATGCAGGCAAGGGTTAGTCCACGGAGAATCTTGAAGACATAAGTGTGATCTTTAAATTAGTCTGGGATTGGAGCCAGTGCAGCAATCAAGTATTTGTTTGAGTATTCGTTGGATGTGGTCTTGTTTGTGGGGTATGTGTGAGAGGTCTGCCCTTACTCTGTCTGCTTGTTGTTCCACCGGCCTAAGATGTGATGTGTCTTATGTCATAACGCTGCGTTCTATCTGCAGGTATCGGGGCCCAGAGGTCCTGCTCCGTTCGACCAGCTACAGCTCGCCTATCGACATTTGGGCCCTGGGCTGCATCATGGCTGAACTCTACACGTTACGCCCACTTTTTCCCGGATCAAGCGAGGTTGACCAGATCTTCAAGATATGCCAGGTGCTTGGCACTCCTAAAAAGGTGAGATGTGTGTTAATGTCATGCAGTGCTTGGGGCTGTTGAGTTTGCTGTATAAGCTTTTCATATTTCTTTGCACCATTACTTATTTTGATACTTTAAACTGAAATCTATTTTAGGAAATGTTTCTGTAAATACTTAATTTTGGGATGTGATACTTTTTTAGATGTAACTCTTTTACATTTGCTTACAGCCTGAGAGGATGTTGCCGTGATGTAAAATGTAGTGCACTAGACTTGCATTCCAGAGGTCACCAGATTGATTGATTGGATCTCCCGGCGCAGCGGTGAAAACTGGGGCAAGTTTATTCAGCCCTCCGTACCACCTCTGTTCACCCAACAAGCATATAAGGGTACACCACAGCAGGCTGGGTATGGTGGGTAAAGTGTGGGTTTGCCCACGTCTTCCAAAAACTCCAGTAAGTCTGGGCAGCATGGAAGGCAAAGCCAAATACCTTCTAGAGGGGCTTTCTAGAACTCGCTCTAATGGAGGCCCATGCACCACCAGTGACTTATCGAGGAGATATCATGGTTATACTGCTATCTTTTTATACAGTGCGAGAGTTCTTGTGAATTCATATTTGTATATTACAAATAGCTAAATTATTATGGTTGTCCGATTATCAAATGTAGACTGCTCCCAAGAAAGGAATATGGAATTTACACCAACAGCTCAGGAACGCCAACAGAGATGAGCACTGCCACAGGTTCACTGGAGAGTTATACATTGATATAATAAAATAATAGTATGCAGCCCTATTGTAAATCAGTGACTGGATGAATCCCTCCCCGTGCCATGACTGCTATGCGGATTGTTTTCTCATACTTCACAGTGTGGGGTTTGTGAACAATTGGGGGCCCATGGCCAGTAACAGATTTCTCCTGCCACCGATGTTAGCCATGACTCGAATGGAGTCGAGTTCAAAGCTTATTGCACAAACTTTTGTTTGTTTGTACAATAATATTTGTTTTTATTATACATGTATATCACAAAGTCTTTCTGTTTTGTTCGCTTCACAGAATGACTGGCCGGAAGGACATCAGTTGGCGGCAGCCATGAACTTCCGCTGGCCTCAGTGTGTCCCAACCAACTTGAAAACACTTATACCCAATGCCAGCAACGAGGCCATTCATCTCATGCGTGACATGCTCCATTGGGAACCTAAGAAGAGGCCAAATGCTGTGCAGGTTTGTTATTCATGTTAACCTAGATTGCGATGATGCATAGTGTTTTTGACTGCATAAAAATTGTCCCTAATGTTGTGGTTAAGTAATGTGGCTCATAACAACGCTTTCATGCCCTCTACTGTAAAATTCGTATATTACGTTTCCATTTCCAATTTTAGCATATTTGTCAACTCAGGATTTTGTCCTTTTGCACTGTGTACTCTATTAATTAAATATTGGTATAAAAGCATCGTTAACATTTCTTATACATAATATTATCAAATGTTTTTGGAATTTGCACTTTGTAGTAGGCAAAGGTAGGACTGCCTGTTTGGCCAGTATCTACGTATCCTCCTCAACATGCAATGAATAGTTGCTCTTTGAGATAGTGTTTCGATTTAGAAATATTTTATATTCTACGACACTGGATATAGCGGCCTTCACTAACAACAGGGATCACATGAACCGATTTGTGTAAAAAGTATAAGAATCTAAAATAATGTATTGCTCCATAAACAATTTGATACATGCATCATGAGTGTAAATATCAATTGCAATTGATAGTCATGCATGTTTTATCTAATAATTTGCAAAGTTAATTATATGTTGCTTGCATAATTCACCTACAATTTGATTAATTCCAAAAAAACCTGCCACCGTTTGCTGTGCACTCAAACTCAGGCTTTGTGCTTTTGTTTTTTTTTTTCCCTAGTCATTACGGTACCCGTACTTCCAAGTGGGACAAGCTCTGGGACCTCCACAGCCCCTACAGCACCAGGCGCAACCCTCAGAGCAGCCGTTAAAGCCGCCTGCTCCAACCCAGCCACTCCAGCCCATCCAGCCATCCCAGCTCCCAGCTGTCGCTCCACACGCTCCCGCATACCCACCACTGCCCACCTACACGGCGGACCCTCCGAACCTTGGCCTGGGCCTCATACCCACCGTCAACAATAATCCTAATCCGGTTAGTGGAATTCGATTGGCTGTTTGCTTGTCACACAGTCCCTGCCTCTTAGTTGCCCGAGAGAGGTCATAAGGCAGTTGCACACAGCAAAGGGTTTTGTCTGAAGACTCTTGAGGTTTCGGTCAAGCCGACACCTCCGATTAGCACTGTTGCAAATGTACGGTGCCAAAAAAGTTCGACAACATACACCCTACAAGGTAATTAATTGAATGATTAGTTAATCAGCAATTACATTTTTACCATTTGTTCTATCACGGGTGGAGTCGTGACTGATTGGTTAGCACACAGCACTAAGAACCCAGCGATCTGAGTTTGATTCCTAGCCACAAATAATGTCAGTAATGAGTGATCCTGGCTCCATTTTACTTTCACCAAATCACTGACAGGTGTGGTGAAGTATAGTCAAACAACCCACGTAACTCGCACTGTGTAGGGAGGCTTTCATCCTGTGTGGATTAACAAAGGGCTGTACCGTACCAGTCGATTGATGCCACAGAACTTGTTTAAAGTGAACTCTAAGGTTAGCTTGGAAGTTTATAAGTGTTGAATACTTGCTCCTACCAGAACCCAGTTCCGGGGAACGAGAACATGGGAGCAGTGGGGCTAAAGGGTGGCCGGAGGCGCTGGGGCCAGGCCAACCTCAAGAATGCTGAGCAGTGGGATGACTTGGAGGACCTGGACTTCTCCACCAACTTCGGCAGGAAGCCATCTCTCCCATGCAACAAGAAGAGCCTTGGCGAGGACACGCTGTTTGGGTAATGTGATATACTTTGTCATCAAAATAGGATTTTTGCTATTTATTGTTTATTATCTGGGGTGGAAAGTTAAGCAGCACCGTTTTCTGAGCACGGGGTAGTATAAATTACACATTTCGAAAGTGATGGCCTGTCTATATACTACTTGGTGCGGCACTTTCCTGAAAAGTGATAGTTGCTAATTTGAGCATGGAAATACTGACTTTACATTGACTATCAAATTTAATGTTTTCAATTCCATAAAGCATGTGAAAATGCCTTTTACAGATCTGTAGAACAGAAGCCCCCAAACGCTTTCCCAGTTGGCAGCAAGAACACCGCGAAGCAACTGGACTCTGCATCTTCCGCCAGACAGCATTACCTGCGCCAGTCACGCTACCTTCCAGGTGCCAAACACACGTATACATGCTGATTACTTTATTGTTTAAAATACAAATTTACAGAATTTAGTTTATCTTTTTTTTTTTAATATGACACATTTGAATCACTGCCTTTGATTACAATTGCATACAAACTGTCGTAAGCCTGGGATCAAACATGGAAAAGGTAAAAAAACTAATTTAGCAAGGGGCCTGATATAAAAACTATTAGTTTTCTGACTTTTATCGTTTTCAGCTTATATTTAGATATATTTGTGCTAATATAAGATGCCTGAATAAAACAATTAGACATATATCTAATGGGCTACTACTTGCACACTTTCAAAGAGTACCATCAAATGTCAATTCTCTACAATATATAATATTTTCATCTTTATATTCAGCACCCTTGATAACCTTCTCATAACTCACTTTTTTAGGTCAACTTTACAAAAAATGAAATTTGGAAGACCCAATTGAAATAATTCGTTTTTTGGAAGTTTCTCAATATAAACATATTTAACTCCCATTTGTGCCAAATTTCAGCTTTATTACCCGTTGTATCGTAGCTTTATTTTTCTAAAAAAAAAAATTCATGTTACATATCAGAAAGATACATTCTACTGTGAACTTTTTCCAAATAATTCAGTAAAGTAATCAAACGGGAAGTGATTTTTTTCTTTGTGTGCTTATGATTGATGTGATACTTTTCCCATATTTACACATTAACTAAGAGAACTGTTTAATTGATTGTCAATACATATGACAGAGGTTGGTTTTCTAATTTACATTTACTATTCCTGCAGGTATAAACACAAAAACTGGAGCAAATGGAAATCTGAATAGAGATGTGGAAAGCCCGTGGAGTAAAGACAGGGGTTACTCGAGCAAGCCTATGGGAGTTGTCGCTGGAATGAACTTAAACAGGACAAATGCAGGTGATGCGTATGGACTGTTTAGACTCGCCCTTGCCGTAGAAATGTGTAACTTTAAAAAGTGGCTCACACCCACCCATGGAAATGAGAATTGCCCAAAACAGTACCCATTCGAGTATGGAGACAATTTAACTCTTGAGTAAGGCTGCAACTTGTTTGAATATTCACAGTCTTTACATAGTTGGTTTATTAATTTATTAATTGAAATGTGATATATTAGAATACAATATGGATGGTTATATTATCAATTCCCACACAATTTGATACATGGAATGTGAGCTTAACCAGTTTTAATCAATGTATTGCTAAATCATATTGTTTTTTAATCAGGAAGCCTCACTTGGTTTGAAGATATTTTTTTGGTATGTTTGGCCAATTCCTTATTGAATATTTTGTGAGTGGGAAGAAACCAGAATACCTGTAGACAACCCAATCGTATAAGGAATAATACTCTTAAATGCACATATAGCCTGCCGTCATCAGTGGCAGCATCATTATCTTTAAAATCATTATCGGAAGCAGCATAATTACACATATATAGACAGGTGAGCATATACAACTGGTGTTATTGACACTTATGTAACATTGATGTCACCATTGCAGTTATGTTAGGCTATGGAATTATGATCTCAAAGGCATGCTGTCATGTGCACAGACCGAAGTGTACTGGTTTAAATGGCTGAGATGACTGGCAGATGCATTTACTATTCTTGCTCCCCACTGTGGTAGCTTGCTGTGTTTTAATCGGCTGGCACTGCTCATTGTTGTAAGCATCGATTCTGCACCCTCCGGATAAGTAAACATGACTACTGAGGATTTTCTGGTAAAAAAAAACTGCCGTTATTATACATTTGACCTTTTTTTAAGCTTATAAAAATGGAAAAAAATAATGTCCACAACTCACATGACTGCCTGTTGTTTTTAAGCATTTGCAGGTCCTTCTTACAATGCAGTAAGCGGTTACATCCCATCATTCCAAAAAAAGGAAGTGGGATCTGCAGGCCAAAGAGTTCAGCTGGCACCAATCACAGGACCAACCTCCAGTACGTATCCCTGCCAAGCCATTTGTCAAAGTGCATAACAGTAAAATGCTGTTCAGAGCAGGATATAACTGGATAGCACCCAGCCTATGACTAAACCACCCGAAATGCACCCGATCTTATATCTCAGAGGCTAAGCCGGTTGAGCCGTGTATGTGTATGTTACGTACCTCTCTCTGGCACCGGCGGAGACATGCAGGGAAGCGGGCCCTAGAGGGCAGGGTCTCGTCGCAGAGAGAGGGGACGTTACTGACACGGGGTCGTGAAGGGGGCCTGAAAAGGGGGGGGGGGGCTTGAGGGACACGTGACACTGGCCCCGGTTCCGTCGGGAGAGACCGAGCAGGGGGCGTGGCCGGAGGCGGAGTGAGGCCACGCTCAAGAGGACATTGGGGATGGGGGCGGAACGATCGTGGTTGTCTTTGTGCGGGAACTCGACGTGTGTCAGCGCTTCGGTTGTTGGTCTTCGGTTAAGTTATATTTAGGTTCCGTGGGTCAGGAGATTTACAGTCCTGAACCAGTTACGTAGTGACCCAGTTGGGGTCTAGTTGACCGAGAGTAGTGTTAAGCAGTAGCCCCGTTGGGCTATGTAATAAACATGGTGCCTCCAGATTCAGTGTGCGTCTCCGTGGAACCCACTACACCTGCATTGTTCTTGGATGGATGACCACTGTGTACAAAACAGGTCATAGACTGTGTGAGACAGTGTAGCAAAATCCATTGTATGTTCTTTTGTCCTAATTAATATGCTACATGCCTTCATCAGCCCACACTTACTTGCCAGTACAGTGATGTATGGTCAAATAACCCCTACGACCTGCATGGCATGGAAAGGCCCTCATCCAGCCATAGATTGACAAAAACGGCTGTACATGTACAACCCAACATGGAAAGTGGTAGTAATTTCACTCAGTAGTGAGCATTTATTCTTAACGATGTGCTAAATCATAGCCTTGTTCTTTTACAATACTCTCTTCAATTGTATTTTGTAATTCCACCTTCAAGCAGCATGACTAAAAGTACATCACCTGAATGTTGTTTTATTCAAGAGTTAAAATAAATGTCTCCCTATGTCTTTCCGCACCCACAGACTACGGAGCGTGGAAGCCTACGGGCCGGCAACAAGTGGTGGGGCCGAGTTACAACCCCGCAGCCAAAACCTCCGCCGGGCTGATACAGCGCACGCAGCCAATGCAACCTGTCCACGGACGCACGGACTGGGCTTCCAAATACGGAAACCACAGATAGGAGCGGGAGACCACAGATAGGAGCGGAAGGCCACCGCGGCTGGGCTGGAATGATGGCTTCCCTTCGGTCTCACCGCACACGTGGCCAACAGAAGTGGACTTGTGACTGGGCCGTTTCAGTCTGTTGGTTAATTTTTATTACGAGTTTTATTTTTGTATGATACGCTTGTTTTTATTCATTGCAACTTTGCCACATGTTTGTGGTGCTGTAATTGAAATGTAAAGCTACTTTTTTTTTTATCTACCATTCTTTAACCCTGATGTGCATACTCCAACAATGGGCTTATGTTATGAATGTGCCTATAATCCTGTAACTAAACTTTTGATTCAATGACAACTTTGTTATTTTAATTTAGTTTTTAAAGAAAAAATAGATTTTCCTACGTGGTAGTTTTTAATAATGAAACTATTTTTTATGTTTAACTACTTAACATTTGTTTACCATAATAAATGGATACAGATTTTTTCTAAATTGCTGTTTTTTGTGCAATAGATACAGACAGGTTATACATTCAAAATGTAAAAATATATAAAGTGTATACCATACAATTATATAAATCTACTGGACAATGTTTGTATGTTTATAACTTAATTTCAAATTCTGAAAAAAACATTTGACAATACTCCTTAATCTGGAGCAGGAATTAACATATTTAGTTCATTAAAAAAAATTGAACACAATGTTCGCGTCTTAATGTCATTATCTTCAATATGCATGAGAATGGTTATGTGGTCACCAACACTTTCATCTCCATTTACTCATAACCAGAAAAACAGTTCGCTGCACGGTGTCTGCATTCTTAAGTAGAGGTAGTCCACAACTTACGAACACCGACTTCCAAACATCCGCACTTACGAACGAGCTTCCATAAGATAATTATTTTTTAACCATCCGGCTTGTGAACTCGCACTTAACAACTGAACCGAGGAACTTTACTTGGTTCGGCGCAGTCCGCGACTTGAACAGTAAGAAGTCACAGCCTCCCCCATAATGCGCAACGGCAGTGAACCGTAACATCATTTAAATAACACTGACCGCATGTGCATTTAAATACATTGTGTTCCAACTTATGAACCGTTCAACTTACGAATGGGTCTCAGGAACGGAACTCGTTCGTAAGTCGAGAACTAGCCATATCGATATATTATCCATGTAACACTCCCAAGCATCCCCAATCTCATCCCCCCCCCCCCCCCCCCCCCCATACAGGCATCTGTTGTGCTTACCATTACTTAGATGTGCCACTATACAGTGAGGGAAAAGTATTTGATCCCCTGCTGATTTTGTACGCTTGCCCACTAACAAATAAATGATCAGTCTGAGACAAATCAAGTTATAACATTTTTGTAATGCGTTTTTCTTGATTTTTTTGTTGTTATTCTGTCTCTCACTGCTCAAATAAACCTACCATTAAAATTATAGACTGATCATTTCTTTGTCAGTGGGCAAACGTACAAAATCAGCAGGGGATCAAATACTTTTTCCCCTCACTGTAAGGTTCTTAAAAAAGCCAGTTGATGGATTATTCACAATAGCGAGAGTGCCCACCCCAGCCACCCATCTCGTCAGTCTCACCAAGACACCCAAAATAAACTTGACAGGGCACTGCACTAAACGGTCGATGCTGATTTGCAAACTGTTTTACCGACATTACAAAAGCAAAAGGCTACACGTTTATAGCGAGGTGTGTGTGAGCGCTGATATTAAAGGCTCACCTGAGTTGTGATAAAATACACAACATGTCAGCCCATTGTTTGCAGGCTGCTTTTTGTACGAATAACTTGGGAATAATGACATGTGCAAGTGAATACTTGTCAGCTTAAATAAATATTGAGACATTAATCTGATTATGAATGTACTTTGCCGAAAGTTTATTAATAATGTGATATTGCTATTGAGGTGTTATAAGTAAATCTTGAAAATTACTAGTTTTTTTTGTAAAATTAAGTACAGCATTTTTAGCGTTTTAAAATACTGGGCGAACAAATAATTTTTACTTCCATCAGGTTTTTAAGTTGAACATGGTATATAAACTACTGCTAAAATAATGAATAATTTTGGTAAGGTTCACATGTTCTAAATACTATACAATTATGAACATATTTTTATCAAATGCATTTGCTAATACTGTACTTGTGTATCCAGGGATGTGTTAGTTTCATGACAATTTATGCACAAACTTTAAGCATGGTTATTTGAGGACTCATTTATCTGGGAATGACCAGTTTAAGTCGGGGTGACGTTCCTTTTCCATAACTAAATTACACATATACTTAGTTCTTTCGGTAAAGTCACGTTGAAGGGAAACAATAAAATAATGAAATATATAAAAATGTATTTTATTATTTTATTGTTTCCCTTCAACGTTACTTTACAGAAAGAACTAAAATTATGAATTACTGCAGTCACGAAAGCTTTAAATCAAAATTTAAATTACACATGTTCCAGCACTCCAATACTCAATGTGTAAAGTCTGAATAATAAATCACAAATTATCCATATCAATGAGGAAGAATAATACTAAATAAAAAGGAAAGCACGGTATGTTTACACACAAATATAAACATTACATAACAATAAAACAAGGTACGTTATATGTACTTCGTTTCATAGGTATGTACATTTCGATTTAAAGCTTTCGTGACTGCAAGGATTCATCTTGTTTGTTTCTTTCGGTAAAGTCACGTAGAATGAGAATAAAATAATAAAATAACAATAAAATTCTCACTACGTTTCGGCCACAACGCAAGCGGGCGTCTTCAGGTGAAAGGAACAGACCTGTCAGGACAACAGAGCTTCAATGAACGATGTTAAGATTCGTAGCGACTTTTAAGCTGGTTGGGAGAAGTGAGGCACCTTGACAAAGGGGTTTACATATCAAATAGCTGAGGGATGAGCTTGTGACTGGTCACAGAAATGGCTATGTTAGAGTCAAAACCTACACATCCACAGAGGCAACTAGTAATTTAGCATTGAAATAGCTAAGGGATTAGCTTGTGACTGGTCACAGAAATAGATGTTAAAGTAAAGGCCTACACATCCACAGAGCTTCAATGAACGCTGTTAAGTAGCGACTTTAAGCTGGTTGGGAGAAGTGAGGCCCTTGACAAAAGGGGGTTTGCATATCAAATAGCTGAGGGATTAGCTTGTGACTGGTCACGGAAATGGCTATGTTAAAGTTAAAACCTACACATCCACAGAGGAAACTAGTAATTTAGCATTGAAATAGCTAAGGGATTAGCTTGTGACTGGTCACAGAAATATATGTTAAAGTCAAAGCCTCTCATCCACAGAGGCACCTCGTACATGGACGCCAAAGGGGGCTGCAACAACTCAACTGTCATACAGTAAACCGATGTGAAAAATCTAATTCTAAATTACGTCAATATAATAAATGTACTCAATATATTCTTCAATAAGCTGAGCTATTAACATTAACTGGGTATACACTACACTATATAATGAATACCATATAGTAAACCAATAAAAACTAAAATATAAACTACCTAAATGTTATATCACAATGTGATATGGTCAAAAACGGGTGGATTCTTACCTTCCACTTCAGCACCACGGACAGTTACGAGCCCCGTTCAGACGGACGAGTCCATCCATGGTCGGAGCGGAGGAGGAAGGAGGGGAGAAACAGCTGCAAGGCGCTGTTATACTCCATGTTATCAACCATACCATTAACGGTGGTGTGAGAGGTATTGAGAGTCAGTGCCAGTGAAAGAGCTGCGGTCTGAAGGTCCTCGTAAAATACAATTAATTAAGAACCGAAATGGTTTAATACATCTTTCCAATGGTTACTAAGCCAGAATCCATCTTCTCGGTTGAAATTGTCTCTGTGTTTGTATATGTGGATGGCCTCATGAACGAATCTCTCATGGTAGCCGGTTGGTTTGCAAAGAACCTGTCTTGGAGAAGTCAATGTCATGTGAGCCCACTGAATTATAACAGTGATCTGCCACGGCAGAGGAGTTCGTTCTGCCGTGTTTCAAGTCTGCTTTATGTTCGCGGATGCGGTCCGAGATGTGTCGTTTGGTTTCTCCAATGTAGCTACTACCACAGAGGCACTTTAGTTTGTAAACGCCAAGCTAATCCCTCAGCTATTTGATATGTAAACCCCTTTGTCAAGGTGCCTCACTTCTCCCAACCAGCTTAAAAGTCGCTACGATTCTTAACATCGTTCATTGAAGCTCTGTCGTCCCGACAGGTCTGTTCCTTTCACCTGAAGACGGCCGCTTGCGTTGTGGCCGAAACGTGAGAATTTTATTGTGTTATTTTATTATTTTATTCTCATTCTACGTGACTTTACCGAAAGAACCAAAGAAGAGGTATGTACATATTTACATCGGGTATATTTGTTCACAGTTGCATGAGGAAGCGATGTGTTAGTCGAGGTGAGTGGTGGCGTTTTGCATTGGTAAATGACAACAAATAGTACCACTACGCTGCTCAAAGTACTCCATCCGCCATGCAAGACATCTATTGTTGCAGCACAACAATAAGATGAACTATTCTGGATGTTTCTAGATTTAAAGCTTTCGTGACTGCTAGGATCCATATACTCTTTGGTTCTTTTGGGTAAAGTCACGTAGGTAAAAAATAAAATAACAAAAATCACGACGTTTCGGCCACAACACAAGCGGCCTTCCTTTGTCAAGGCGCTTTGTTTCTTCTCACACAGCTTAAAGGTCGTGATCTGAGCGTGGCTTTTTTCACTCCAGCGCTGTCCTCCAGACAGTCTCGTCCCTTCACCTGATGAAGGCCGCTTGTGTTGTGGCCGAAACGTCGTAATTTTTGTTATTTTATTTTTTTACCCACGTGACTTTACCCAATAGAACCAAAGAGTATTCTGTATGTTTAACTTCTTTCGCATCGTACGTGGCCAACCGTGCTAATCGGAAAGGCTGATCATTTTAATGTCCCCTATTTGCAAACGACGTTAGAATTACACAACGTAAACTGATACGACTTGAACTGATCATTGATGTAAACAACTACGTATCAATGTTCTACAAAGACTATAGAGCTAAAAAAAAATGGCAGCCGTGTATTGCTTGCTGGTGGAAGGGCCTGCTCGTCCGTGCTGAACAGTTTCAGTTTTCAGATTCATTTATTTGGTACAGCCTGTGAGCCATTCGGCTCTTGAATCGGGTGCAACCGCAGCAAACAAAAACATGAACAAGAAATCATCTTAAAGTGACTACGCGCAAACAGAAAAATCCAGGAAAAAAACAGCAAAATCTTCCAGAAAAAGCACCGTACACCAACGCTGTGTGCAAAAATCCCGGTGGGATGCAAGTCAAACAACAACAACAACCACAAGACAACTTAGATTAAAGCCATCAGTCTAACTCCGTACTACAACAAACAAACATGGCCAAACAAAAAAAAACGTTTTCGAAATCACCAAAATAAAGTCATAAAAGCAACGCAACAGCGATCATAGGAATTGTGACCGAAATTTAACAATAAACAACATATACCACCAAACCCTGTTGGCTGCATGAGTCGCTCCACAACAGCAGGAGCAATATTCCCACCCACAATGCCCGATAAAAGTTAAAGCTAAGCCATTAGGAGGAGGCATCTTGGAAGAAGAGGAAGAAGAGGTGGCAGTATTCCCACCCACAATGCCCAATAAAAGCTAAAAAAAAACAGGCGAACTGCCACG